AAAATCCAGCCATACATAACCTATATTTTTAATACTGTACTGACAAAATCTACTTATCCGGACTGTTGGAAAACGGCAAATATAATTCCGATTCCTAAATCAGATAATGAGTACAGACCCATCTCCATTTTACCATACCTACCAAAGGTATTTGAGAATCTCATGGATGATCAAATTAATAAATTTATGTCCGACAATGCAATGCTTAATAATAATCAGTCTGGTTTTAATAAAAACATAAGCTGTACCTCAGTTATTTTAAAAATTGCAGGCGACATAAGGGAACAAATAGACGAAAACAATGTTACACCCTTAGTTTTTCTGGACTATAGTAAGGCCTTCGATACAGTAAACCATAATGTCCTTTGTGCAAATCTACGTAATATGTGTTACGGAACTGCATCTTTCCCGGAGGGCAGCGCCGGCTAGCCACGGAGTCCCAGGGCGGAGTACCCCCTATGCCCCGCAGTCCGAACAATCGATTCCGACTCATCGGACGTCTCACGTCGATTTACCATCTCTAGCACAAATCAAAACAAAACAAAATTATATTTACATCAAGCAACTAAGACAATTCGAGGAAATTGGTGGCCTCGATGTCCTTGCCACGACGCACCCACCCAACCTTGGGTGCCCCAAGAAAGATGTGGGGGGCACACCCCATCTCCGGCAGACCGGAGTCTATTCCTGGTGGATTAGGATCGGCTCATCTCCCCGCCCAAGGTAACTCACACAACCATCTCGGTAGCTTGTTTACATTTAATTCTTGGTGAGATTAATAAGTAAATACATTCATTATTGATTCCTACTGATAATCTATTCTTTTCGTTAGAAACTTTAAGGCCGATCTCAGACCGTCGCCCAGATGAGAAGCGGTCAAAGCGGAAACAACCGAAAGGGAAATTTTTAGACGCTTAAAGTTCCAAGTGTCAGGCAAAGTCGCCGCACGGCACTAAATTTGGAGGCGTTTGCCAGCCGGGTCGCCTAATCCTGAGGAGCTCCAAGGGAAAAGAAAGGACGTGCTAATAAGGTAAGTACGCTAAACAAATCCCACAAGTCATTAAATTTCGCGACCCAATTTAGATGTAGTTGGACACGGGCTAGGGTTCGGGCTTGAGCCTCTAAATTTAGATTAGATTTCACAGTAAGTACTTTACAATCTTGACTATATGATATCACAAAACAATAACTAAGACTAATTTATTGCAGAGTTCAACGTCGGATGTGTTGAAACTGCAGCAGAAAAAAAAACGCTGACGGCGAAAACCAGCGCGAGTCCGCACGGAGCCAGTTGGAGATGACCACGTGGCCAGCGCGGGCATTCGTTCCCGGAACGGACTCACCGAGGGAATCTCCGTATCTGGCCGTCTTGGCGGCAGTCGCTGTAGCTGCTGGCGCTTGAGGCTGCTGCTGCTGCTACTGATCGCTGCTGCTGCGGCCAATGCTGCTGCGGCTGATGTTGCTGCTGCTGATGCTGCTGCGGCTTATGCTGCTGCTGATGCTGCTGCGGCCAATGCTGCTGAGGCCAATGCTGCGACGGCTGGTGGATGACGACCAGGTTAGGTCCGCCTGGTAAGTTTTCACTGCCCAAGTCTTTAAAATTTCCGGGGCCCTTTAGTTAGGGTCCCCGGCGGCTTTAATATAAAAAAAAACACTGTAATTTACAAGTTCCGGACTAATAAATAACCACTCACTTTGAGTTATTCAAACACTAATCACGAACTTAAATTTTGGGTTTTTTTCCGACCGTTCTCCTACTACTTCTTGCAGCAACTAAAGCAAAACCCTGACCTACACCAAAGTCGCTCGCCATTTTCCCTCCCGCTCTCTCAAGATGGGTCAGCGAACGTATTCAAGGCCATCTAACCCAGTCAACGAGCGAACCGGGCTAAATTTAAATAGCTAGATCCTCTCCCGCTATCAATAGTCGGTGTCACCACCAAATCTTATCGATAGCGGGACCTGCTGATGTATCGGATCGTTTCAGTATTTTCCAGACGGCTTCAACTGAAAAGGCAACACCACCCTGGATTCCGAGAGACGCTAACACAGAGTTTTAGACAAGCGCAGGAATACTTGGGAGCATTTGGATTTGGACTATTCGGATTCAGCCGGCCTCGATACCAAGATGCAGTTCCAACGGTGTCCAACGCGGGGCCCACGCTTTACGGGAAGTAGACACATGCCGGTTCTGAGCTCGTGTACTTTGTTATTCCTCTTTCCAGATCACAACCTAATGTCCTTGGCATGGTACGTACACTCCGATCGGTCGTCCTTGAAGATCTTCAAGCTCGTACGCATTATTGCCGACTGTCCTGACCACCCGAGCTTTTAGGAACTTCCGAGCAAAATTTGCATTGAAGGCCTTTTTGAAATCGCTGGGGACAAAGTTGCGGCGATACACTTCCTGACCTGGCTTCGCAAGGAAAGTACGAGCCCTTTTGTCGTACCGCAGGCGACTCCGATCGTATGCATCTTCGAGGTTCTTCTGCACCTTGTCATAAATCACTTGGAGTTTATCAACTGTTCTCATCCCAGACATTTCGTGATCACACAGCGACTTCAACTTCCTTGCCAACTTGTAGCTGGCTCCGTTCAGGAACATGTGTCGTCCGAATACGGTGAAGAACGGAGCTTCTCCAGTTGCTGAATGAACCGCGTTGCGGAGGGCCACCTCAATCTCCGGAAGATACGCGTCCCATTCTCGATGGTCTTCTTCTAAGTAACTTCGGATCGCCGCCAACACGCTTTGGTTCACCCTTTCCGCTGCGTTGCTTTGCGGAGAGTGGACTGGCGTTTTGATGTGCGTGATGCCAAAGCTCTCCATCGCCTCCTCGAAGATCTTGGACGTAAACTGGCGGCCGTTGTCCGAATGCACAATTTCTGGAACCCCAAACTTGTAGAACACCTCGTGAATGAGGAACTCCACTACATTGGAGGCCGATGCCTCTTGCATGGCTTTCAGAAATGTGTATTTGGAGAAGTGATCCACCACAATGAAGATGTAGGCCTGTCCCTTCTTCGACCTCGGATACTTCCCCAGGAAATCGATGTACAGCTTCTGGAATGGCTGCTCAGTCTGGACTCTCTCACCGATACCAACTTGCATCCGGAAATTCGGGGATTTCGTCTCCTGCACACTTCACACCTGCGTATGAACTCCCGGACTTGCAGTGCCATGCCAGGCCAGTAAAACTGCCGCCGTAGGTTTTCCAGAGTTTTTCCCATTCCGCCATGAGCTGCCGTTGGATCCGAATGTGCACGCTCAATTATGCTGTGGGTCAGACTCTGGGGAATCCACAACTTCCATTCGAAGCCTTCCACCTCGTCATCCAGATTTGCCGAAAAGACTCTCTTGAAAATGAGACCATCCACTATCTTCAAGTCTGGTAGGTTGGCCAAGTTTTTTTCCACCTCTTGTAACAACTCCGTGTACTCTTCTCCAGCAAACTCAGTGGTCTCGAAGCCGAGCAACTCTGACGGGTCCACCGTTAGCTCTTCAACACAACGCGAAAGGGTATCTGCCACAACGTTCTCGCTTCCTTTCCTGTGTTCGATGTTGAAGTCATATCCCTGGAGTTGCAATGACCACCGAGCCAGCCGACCCGAAAGATCTTTCATGGACATGAGCCACCTCAAGCTGGCATGATCGGTGATGCACGTGAACGGCATTCCTTCCACATACGGCCGGAACTTTCGAATGGCCAGCAGGGCTGCGAGGCATTCCTTTTCAGTGACGGTGTAATGGACTTGGTGACGATTCATCTTGGCCGAGAAGAACGCTATTGGTTGTTCCTGGCCGTCTTCATCCCACTGGAACAACACTGCACCGACTCCGATCTGGGATGCATCGCACTGGATGAAAAAGTGCCGCTTGAAGTCCGCATGTACCAGCACTGACGCAGTAGTTAGGGCCATCTTCAGGGACTCTACTGCCAGCTGTGCTTCTGGACTCAAGGAAAACTTCTTATTTCCCGTCTTCTTCAAGGATTCCGTGAGCGGGGCAGCCAAAGTTGCGAAGTTCTTTATGAACCGACGGTACCAACCAGCGGTCCCAAGAAAGGCTCTCACTTCCTTCATGGTCCTTGGCTCAGGCATCCGCCTAATAGCTGCTACACGCCCTGGATCCATCCGCAGACGTCCTCCACCCACTATGAGGCCGAGGTAGGTCAAAGACTTGAAGCAAAACATCGACTTGCTCAGCCCAATGGTTAACCCTGCTTCCTTCAGGCATTCAGCGACTCGGCGAAGATACTTCAAGTGCGTTCTTATATCAGGCGCTAGTATTAGCAGATCATCCAAGTAGACGAACACATTCGAGCGGATTTCAGCGGGAATTACTCGGTCCATGAGTCTCACCAGCCTCTGTGATGCGTTGCAGAGTCCGAAAGGCATCACACGGAACTGGTAAAGAGGCCGACCAGGAACCGTAAAGGCTGTGTATTCCTTGCTGCTCGTGTCCAACTCAATCTGCCAAAAAGCGAACTTCAAATCCACGCTGGAAATGTAGTATGTTTGCTCAATTCTGGACAGGATGCCGTCTATGCTGGGCAACGGGTAAGCATCTTTGATGGTCACATCATTAAGCTTACGTGCGTCTAAGCAGAACCGGTGTTTTCCAGATCTTGACACTACGGTGGTGCGGTTACTCCAGGGGCTTTTGCTCTCCTCGATGACTCCGAGCGCTAGCATCTTGTCGACCTCGTCCTCGACCACCTTCTGCTTCGCGGGAGACATCGGATAGGGTCGATCCTTGAACACTTTGGCTCCGTCCATCAGCTCAATAGTGTGTTTCTCCAGACTGGTGGTACCTAAGCCATCCCTCTCGAAAGTCAAGAACTGCTGCTTGATCTCCTCCAGCTCTTGTTCCTCGGCCTTGGAAAGCGTCCAGGACTCGGGATCGGGTTTCTCCTCATCGTCATCCTCGACTTCCGCGTAGTGTTCCATCTCCCTGGCGTGTAATTCTTCGGCCTTCTTCACGCCTTCCGAATTCGATGTGGCCTATAATCGCTGGGGCCAGTCCGAATGCTTGCCAAAAATCAACTCCAAAATAAGCTGGCTGCTCCAGGTAAGGACACAAGTAGAAGAGAATGTGCTCTGTCCGTCCTCGGTATTCCACCGGTAACTTGACCCGTCCTATAATTGACCGATCCTCTCCAGAGGCCGTACGGACTGCGGATAAGTACTTCTGGACGGGCACATCCAAGGCCTCGACCAGCTCTCTGCCACCTTTTCCAAGCAGACTCACACTCGCTCCAGTGTCCAACAACCCCGTCAGTTGCTTGGTCAGAACTCGGACTGCGGCGAACGGTCTGGGATCTCGCGATAAACTGCGCCTCACGACGGCCACTGCTTCGCGTCGGCAGTTCCGACGTTTGCGAAATCGCTCCCTGGCCTTTTGCACCTTGCGAGACACCACACGCATCCCGCCTAACTGGTGCTCTGAGAAGATCCTGTTCCCGGTTTCTAGATACCGCCGCATCCTCTCCGCATAAGGTCAGTATCGTAATGCAAACTTATTACTATTTTTAGAAGGTAAACATTTATCTAACCCTACCAGCTCTTCTTCTCTGCGGAACTCCTGTTTGGACGCATCCTCTCCGCCCTCGGATCGCCCAGCCGACCGTTTTCCGCACAATCCGGACATTTGGGAGACACGGTGTCGGGCTTCCCACATCGGTAGCAGAACACTCTGCGTTCTGTTGCTGCGCAGTCACGGAACCCGTGATCCACGGCTCCGCAATTCCAGCAGCCGGCTCGGAACGGATTTTTAGGCTTCGCCCGCACTTCGTCCACCTCTTGCCACGGAGGATCCTCACCAGGATCTGGGCCAATCGCCTCGCTAACCTTGGCCTTTTCCGCCAGAGGATACCGCATCGGCTGCGTGTACGTGGTCCGTCCACGTTGTCCAAAACTGCGCTCCACCTCGCAGCACTCTTCCCGCAGCTCATCCACCGTGAGCACATCCATCGCGTAGACAAACCTTGCGATGCTCTCCCTCAATCCCTTTTTAATAATCTTCACCAGCTGCCGCTCTGACAGTGGCCTTTTCAGTCGAGCCGCCAACTGCTGCATCGCATGGATATAATCGCCAACTCCTTCTCCGAGCTGCTGCTCCCTCTGCAGAAGTTGGTGCATCCGATCGTGCTCCGTCTGATGGCATCGGAACCTATCCATCAGCGAGGCTCGAAGCTGGGACCACCTGTCCACCCTGCAGTGACGCACGTGCACCCAGTACCACTCCCGAGCCCGCCCAGTGAGCAGCAGGTGGAAGTTTCGGAGCACCTCTTGCCACGGACATTGGCACTGCCGCTGCAGGAACTCCAACCGGAAGAGAAAATCTTCCACCGAGTTTCGCTCATCCTCCCCGTCGAAGGATACGCCCCACCGCTCAATTCGCCATTGCTGGTTGGCGGCTGCCGGCCCCACATTGGCATACAGACGCGGCTCCTCCCGGAACTCTGAGGCCCTGCGGTCCTCAATGCACCAGCTGCGGGCCGGGCCGTCGTCTCGGCGCGACCTGAAATGATCCGGAGGATACCCGGGACTGCTACTTTCCAACTCCTGGAAATCCAGCGGCCTCCTCGTCGGTTTGGGTGGCACCCTCGGCGGAGGTAGCCTGGAACCGTCCCTGCCGGCGACCTGTGTGCTCTTCGGCACCGCACCTTGCGGGGCTTGACCAGGGATTCCCGCGTTGATCCTTGAATCCGGACGCCTTCGCTCATCCGGCATGCTCTCCAGGGGAAGCTGAGGCCGCTGAGCAGCAGGCCTTAACACCTCGTTCATCAGCTTCATCATCTCCAGGAAGCCACTTCGGATCTCGTCCCTCAGTGCCTGATTGATCCCGCCTTCTTGGGCCTTCCGATGGGTCTCCGCCGCCTGTGCCAAAGCCACATTAACGGCCGACCTTGCCGCGGAATCCACAAAGGGATCGTGGAGTCTTGCGTCCTTATAGTCCAGCTGCAATAACTCATCCGCTGCGGAACCAATTCCCTCCAGGATCTGCTGCTGCCTTAGGTCCTGCTGCAGCTCTGTGTCCTGTGGTCCTTTTTGCTCTTGTTGCAGTCCCTGGCGCAGACGGGCAAGCGGAGTCCTGGGCAACCCTTCCGATATGCGCGGCAAGCCAGCCTCGGTAACGCCCTCCACATCCGTGGACCACATCTTTTCGTCGTCCTCGCCTGGAAAACCTTTCGACCGAAGCAGGTGATCATGCTTGCTGCCTTGTCGCTTTGACATCTTGAATTTTGATAACCCCTAACACGACTTCTGAAACCCCGAATTCAACGTGGCCACCAAAAGCCCAAATTATGTATAAATAAATAAATTATACTGAATGCTAGTAAATAATAATAAACAATAAATAAACACCACTAAATAATATGCACCTAAATAATACGAATACTTATATTACCAGGCCAATAAATAATAATAATAAATAAATAGAAACAATAAACCATGAATAGATAAGAAATAAATAAGAAAATATATTAAAGACCCACAAATACCTAAGGCTAAACAAATTCACACCAAATATTAGCTCTTATCAAAAAAACAAGTCCCTCGACTAAATTTCTTCCTCTATTTTTATTTTTTTTTTTTTTTCCAGCCTCAATAAGGGGAGATGGAGCCGATCCCCAGCCGGTAGACTCCGCGCCAGTCGTCTTGCGTCTACAATTTCGTCCGAATTCTCACTAAACAAACCGCTCGTCAACTGGACTAACTTTCAGCTGTGCTGAAAGTCGCCAGTTAAGGACTTCGGCTGTTTGCAGGATCGCATAGGATTTCCTTTTGGACTTTGCGTTTTTCATTCAAGTCGCGGTGGCCGAGCAGCGCGTGACGACGTCACGGGTCACGACCCACATTTAAGTTTTAAACCGATATGATCTGAAAACGCAAATACCCAGAAAACCCAAGGATCTGCACAAAACAAACAACTACACTGTAACCCCAAAACAAGACATTCATTAAAATTACGTTAACAAAAAAAAAATATGTCCCTAATACCTATATCACAGTCTTATCACCGTTTTTGGTTTAACCTTTCGTGCTTATTGCACGGACGACCTGGGATGCGAATCCTTCGATTTTCTTCGAAGAGGATGTCACCGCCAAATCACAGCTAATCCCTGTGAACTGTGCCTCGGGAGCAATTGTCCTACTTCTAGTGGACACGCCTCCGTTTCTTCTTACAAAATTTAAACAACTTTTCTCCACCAGTCCGCATCCCGGTGCAATTGCATGTGTGTCATGCAAGCCACCGTTCGTGGGCTGGCTGGAGATAATAAATATGCGAGACACCGTCGAATCGGCTATCACATATTTTATTTGTTAATATTGGGCGCCATATTGTTACGGAACTGCATCTTTCCCGGAGGGCAGCGCCGGCTAGCCACGGAGTCCCAGGGCGGAGTACCCCCTATGCCCTGCAGTCCGAACAATCGATTCCGACTCATCGGACGTCTCACGTCGATTTACCATCTCTAGCACAAATCAACACAAAACAAAATTATATTTACATCAAGCAACTAAGACAATTCGAGGAAATTGGTGGCCTCGATGTCCTTGCCACGACGCACCCACCCAACCTTGGGTGCCCCAAGAAAGATGTGGGGGGCACACCCCATCTCCGGCAGACCGGAGTCTATTCCTGGTGGATTAGGATCGGCTCATCTCCCCGCCCAAGGTAACTCACACAACCATCTCGGTAGCTTGTTTACATTTAATTCTTGGTGAGATTAATAAGTAAATACATTCATTATTGATTCCTACTGATAATCTATTCTTTTCGTTAGAAACTTTAAGGCCGATCTCAGACCGTCGCCCAGATGAGAAGCGGTCAAAGCGGAAACAACCGAAAGGGAAATTTTTAGACGCTTAAAGTTCCAAGTGTCAGGCAAAGTCGCCGCACGGCACTAAATTTGGAGGCGTTTGCCAGCCGGGTCGCCTAATCCTGAGGAGCTCCAAGGGAAAAGAAAGGACGTGCTAATAAGGTAAGTACGCTAAACAAATCCCACAAGTCATTAAATTTCGCGACCCAATTTAGATGTAGTTGGACGCGGGCTAGGGTTCGGGCTTGAGCCTCTAAATTTAGATTAGATTTCACAGTAAGTACTTTACAATCTTGACTATATGATATCACAAAACAATAACTAAGACTAATTTATTGCAGAGTTCAACGTCGGATGTGTTGAAACTGCAGCAGAAAAAAAAAACGCTGACGGCGAAAACCAGCGCGAGTCCGCACGGAGCCAGTTGGTCCGGAGGATAGCGCAGCGTAGCCGGAGGCAGTGCGTCGGTGGACTTGGAGATGACCACGTGGCCAGCGCGGGCATTCGTTCCCGGAACGGACTCACCGAGGGAATCTCCGTATCTGGCCGTCTTGGCGGCAGTCGCTGTAGCTGCTGGCGCTTGAGGCTGCTGCTGCTGCTACTGATCGCTGCTGCGGCCAATGCTGCTGCGGCTGATGTTGCTGCTGCTGATGCTGCTGCGGCTTATGCTGCTGCTAATGCTGCTGCGGCCAATGCTGCTGAGGCCAATGCTGCGACGGCTGGTGGATGACGACCAGGTTAGGTCCGCCTGGTAAGTTTTCACTGCCCAAGTCTTTAAAATTTCCGGGGCCCTTTAGTTAGGGTCCCCGGCGGCTTTAATATAAAAAAAAAACACTGTAATTTACAAGTTCCGGACTAATAAATAACCACTCACTTTGAGTTATTCAAACACTAATCACGAACTTAAATTTTGGGTTTTTTTCCGACCGTTCTCCTACTACTTCTTGCAGCAACTAAAGCAAAACCCTGACCTACACCAAAGTCGCTCGCCATTTTCCCTCCCGCTCTCTCAAGATGGGTCAGCGAACGTATTCAAGGCCATCTAACCCAGTTAACGAGCGAACCGGGCTAAATTTAAATAGCTAGATCCTCTCCCGCTATCAATAGTCGGTGTCACCACCAAATCTTATCGATAGCGGGACCTGCTGACGTATCGGATCGTTTCAGTATTTTCCAGACGGCTTCAACTGAAAATGCAACATATGTTTATGTTTTCTAAAACTTCTGTCAAACTTGTGTCTTCGAACCTACAAAATCGTCGTCAATCTTTTGCACTGTCTAGCGTTTCGTCTTCATATGAAAATGTTAATCGTGGTGTACCCCACGTATCTGTGCTTGGTCCCTTATTGTTTACCTTATATGTTAATGACCTTCCCAATGCGTTATCTGAATGTAATGTACACTTGTGTGCTGATGATGTCCAAATGTATGTGAGTCGTCCTTTAAACAGAATAAATGAATGTTAAGATGTTTGTAACAGAGAACTTGCTCGTGTAAATGAGTGGGTCGGCAACAATGGACTTGATATCAACCCATCAAAATCAAAATGTCTTGTCATAAGTAAAAGAAAGATCATTTTTAACAATTTGCAGCCACAGAGTATGAATAACACGCCACTTGAGTACGTTGATACAGCTGTAAACTTAGGTTTCACATTTAGCAGAACTCTTACCTGGAATAATCATATTACAAAGTCTGTAGGGAAAACATATGGCATAATAAGGACATTATCCGTAACTAAAAATTGCCTGCCCACCCATATACGTTTACTAATAGCTAAAACCTGCATTGTTCCAGCGCTATTTTATGGAGTAGAAGTTGATTGAAACTGTGACACTACCAGCAAAGACAAATTTAAAGTTCTATTTAATTGCATAGCCAGGTATATATTCAACCAACAACGTATCCAAATTTTCACAGAAAATATTCGATATCTCGCTAAATGAATGGATAAAGATGCGAATCTTAATTTTTCTGCAAAAAATTATTTTCCAAAAAAACCTTCGTATCTTTTCGATAAACTTCAGTTTACATCCTCTAGAAGAGCAAACAATCTTACTTGCATTAGACCTAGATCACTGACACCCGAAAGACAATTTTTAATTAATGCTATTCGATCATGGAATCAGCTCCGCAACCATCATAAAAATATTAGCAGTGCCACGCAATTCAAGATAAAATTATTCACACACCTTAAAAATACTATTACGTAAATTAAAGTAAAGTAGAAGGCGACTTAGGCTAGTTTTTATGAAAATTAGCTTTAAGTATAATGTAACAGTTAAAAATTTGCAACTCTTAGTGACTAGCGCGTTAATTTATAAGTTCCAAACTTGTAGCGTTAGAATGAAATGTTTTAATAAAATAAAAATACAAAATATTTAATGATTATGTCTGTTACCTGTTCCACGAAAAGTTACTTGCTTCCATATACAGCAAAATATATATTTATCTTCTGCAGGCTCTGCGATACAATCTTGCATGCAAAATATGCAGGACTTGTTTGCTGAGTTAGGGATAACATTGACATGCGGTCTGGGCTCAAGTGAGTCCGGCAGGGAAATGGAACATGAGATGGTTTGCTTTATGAAGCAGACTCGTGACGGTTTTAAGAATCTTCTTGGAGTATTAGAACAACTCACTGGAGAGTTCAACGCGTTAAGTGAACGTTTAGGAGTAAAAACTGCTAAATGAGACACCTAAGCGTTAAAAAACCGAGTCCATTAGAACGGGCCCTTCTTTAAATTAAGATTCAGAAAAGAAATCTTCAACAATTCCAAAATCAAATAGTTGCAATGACTCTTTACCGGACCATAGCTGATCAGCCCCTGACACTGGAGAAGTTGTAGAGCAACCCGGTGGATCAAAAACTTTACGGCCAGCTACTCCCTTCATCAGAAAGTCGGAGTAAAAATGTTCAAAGTGTTGATGGTGGTGAAAAGAAACTTTCTGTTGTTCCCCATAGCAAACAATTATTTGTTTCTCGATTTACCCTCGAAACCACATCTGATAATGTTATGGAGTTTATTCAAGAAAAATACCCATCTCCAAACATTAAAGTTGAACATTTTAATTTTTGTATACGCTTTTAACGTTCTAAATAATACAAGTTTTTATCTTGATGATAAACTAATAATAGAAGAACTTGATCCTTGTTCGTGCAAATCACGAAGGACGATACGGCAATTTATTTCCAAATAATAATTCGGAAAGACGAGAACAGAACTTGTGGACACCATCGTTTCCATATTGAGAGTGATCCACTCAAATTTATTCAAGCTCTTCTAAAACCATTAAATGAGTTCTAAAGTTGCAATAGTGGTTCTCGCGAGTGTAAGTTAGCTCTTTCTAATACAAGAATGAAAGTTCGACTTCAAGAGATCTTAGGTACTAATTTTTACATTGTTTTACAAAAGAAAATCGCCACAGAATTGACTGAACGTAGGCCGCGTTGACAGCATTAACATACTAATTCATCAACTAATAGGAATAGGTGCAGGGCGATGTATTGATCGTTTATATAGGCCCGATTTGGTT